GGCTCTGCTCCATGACGATATTGTTGGGTACTTTAACAAAAACGATCCCAATATTCATTTAACGACGCTGTCACTACCTGAGAAGTTATTGCGTCAATGACTGGATAGCAGTGAATATATCCTGACATTTGCTTGGAGAGATTGAGGAAAAACCACAAAACGCCTCAGTCAGGAGAGCTGGTGTTCCAGTCCAGATTGGAACCATTAACCTCTCGTATAGAAGTTAGAAGCGTCATCGCTTCAGTTCCATCTGATAGCTAAACGCGACGTTTCGGCGAATATTTGTTTTCATCTTTGAATTAAATATTCTCGGGTGTGAAGACCAACGTTTCAGGAATCATATCTGCCCCCGTTACAATTTTTTTATGATGGGGGCAGATATGTCTTTGTGTATGCATTGTCTCAGACTGTATGGCGTCGAATGGTAATGAACTGGAAAGGATTTGGAAGGAAGCGATCGTAACCTAAACAAGGTACTATCCCAGCATTTGCCTAGAGGGACGGAGGAAAAGTATGGAAAACCTCAGTCAGGGCTGAAATTCGAATGAAAGGAATCCAGAACATTCACGCTAAGCTACCCTGCTCAGTAGCGCTGTCCAGCAGTTCCGATATTCGGCCATATCAGCCTTCAGCAAAGCCGATTGTGCCCGTACACAGGACCACACCATAAACCGCTGTTCACATTTTTGGTGAAATTCGGTATGAGAGATCTCTGCGTGACGTCAGGCGGCCGTTTTGGCTTTTACCCGCAGTCACAGGTCACGGAGCCCTACGTAAGGCCACACATGGGCATCTCCACGTACCATCTCGTGCACCAGTGGGCTGCTGAATTGCCGACTGAGCTAGTTTCATTCGGCACATTTTGTGGCTTGCCAAAATTCGGTCCACAGTTCGGCCACAGAGGGATTTTAACAAACTGCAAAGAAGACCGCTAGGAATTTGGCGGGCTACATAACGGAATGAACGCTTTCCGCTCTTGCCCAAAATTAAAACGCCACAAGAAAGACTCGCGTGGTCGGTGGGACCTGTACACAGCCACAGACGTCCACGACACCGCGACGCACGTCCGTCCGTCTGTTGTGCCAATTCGTGAATCAACACTAACCTTCCTATGATGAATAACACGTAACCACACGCGGGGCAGAGCGGCAGTGCGCCGACAATGAATATCGGTTAGAGGCAAGCACCGCTGACATAGTCTTATAAATTGGGCCGCGCCATAGCTCGCTGGCTTCCCATCGCGGCGGCCCGGGTTCGATCCCGGGTCTGGTCAAGTGGGATTTGTGGTGGACAAAGTGGCGCTGGGGCACGTTTTCTCCGAGTACTTTGGTTTCCCCTGCCAATCTTCATTCCACCAATTGCTCCACAATCAGCCTCACCTATCATCTGGGGCTGGTACAATAGGCCAGAAGTGGCCGCAGTACAAGGGACTTAGTCTCACCCCACTAGCAATGCAAGAAAATAGACTTATTATAAATTGGTTTGAGGTGGCGTTAATCAAACTGTAGGGCTTAACGTAGTCGTGCACGGACACAAACACGTCACACTGTTGGGTCTTAACATTAAACCGCGGATACGTCTCTTAGAGCCGTACGGGCGGAGTTCGATTTCCTGCAGAGGTAAATATTTCTCTTCACTAACGCATTTAGAGAGGACGCACACCGCGGTCACCTCCAGAGTGTCAACTGTGTAGCTCTAGAACACGAGAAGACTTACTTCTGTGCCCCCCATACGCTTTCATGACGTGCGCCGGCGTCCCTACATCTGAGACAATGGGAAGTGTGCGAGTTGACTGCCACGCAACTGCGTCCTGCGCGCGCCTCACAACACTGACGAAGACGTAAAGAGCATGAGAATACGCGGGAAAAACGGAAAATGGAGAAGAAAATGGGTGATGAGGAGAGAAGGAAGACGCGGCAACGGAGGGAAAGTGAAAGGCAGTGTCGTCAGATCTGAAGTCTCACGGCAGTGACTTTCCTGAGATATGACGCCGTGCGGCTTGGGTCAAATGCATCAACGTTTCGCGGGACTCTGAACACGTTGGTGAATATGTACCAGACTACACGGTGTCTATCCCAGTCTTGAGAGACTGCTGAGGAAACCTTCACTCAGCAAAGGGCGGACCGCCTGAGAGAGTTATTAGCTCCAGATACCCCGGTGCGCGCGTCGCGACGGAGTCGCCCGTCCCCACGCCCGCTCGGCGGCGTGCCACCGCTACCTGCGCTGCGCCATTTGGGGGCAGGAGTCACAAAAAACCGCATTGAAACGGCGCCAATGAAAAAAGGCCGAAACAAGACCGCTTACAAATATGACATCCCGGTGAGCTGTCTGCCCTAAATATGAAACACAAATTGGCAGAACATTATCACCCTCTGACATACAGACCTGTCGTTGGAGGAGCGCTACCTTCTTGTATGTGACGCCAGTTCACCGCTGTTTCGGAGAAACGTCCTGCCTCCATCCTCATGGTAGAAGAGGAATCCAAGGAAGCAACCAGCAAGAGAACGGTACGATTCTTGCTTGGCTTACTCTTAGACTCTGAAGATGGAAGCAGCACGTTCCTCTGAGACGTCAGTAGACTTCTACCGGAATACACGGCGTCACATACCAGTCTTTACTCTCGCCAGCGTGAGAACCATACGGAACGTAACAAATACACTGTGGGGAAAATACAGAGTTATAGTACCTTAAAGCAGGTGGTACAAATAGTAACCACTGGGCTTTAAAGGGTTAAGGAAGGCCGTACATATAATTACCACCTTCATTCTTCTCCGTTCGATCAAACTTACGTGAGAATTTCCCAACAATTCGCTTTCTGTTCCCATTTGAGCACTAATAAATAAACGGCCTGAAGACTAGCTAATGTCGGACAGAACTCTGAAAGTGAGGTCACTGGAGCAAGCAAATCCTGCGTGCTGTATCCCTACTCAAGGGCAACACACACTGAGGACGACAATAAACGTGTAACGAAGCCCAATATTTCCTCGGACGTGACTCGGTGTTGTCTGGTAGTTACCAACGTATCGGAGAGACCCGCTATCCAGCATCAGGTCAGAAGAACGCGGCTTATAAGAAAATGTTTCGGATATGAGGAGAGGAAGACGCAGGAAATTACTCGGATGAGCCTGAGACATGCAATGTCGCCCTGCACGTCGCCGCTCCAGACGACGCGTTCTCATTGCATTCCTACCTATTTTTAAACACAAAATAATGGCGACTGTCTCCATGCATCCAGGCGGCAGATGACTGAGAGATTCGCCTGTAAATAGCGCGTCGTTATGACCTGCTCACAGCGCGACGAATTCTGAAATTCTGAAACCAGAATTGCCTTCCGATACCTGTTGCAGTGTTATCTACCGGACTCCATGTTCTCACAGCGGCGAGTATGAAGAGTACTACTGGGATGTGACGCCGTGTAGTCCGGTACACGTCTACCAAAGTTTCGGAAGAACATACCGTCTCCATCTTCAGAGTCGAAATGTGAGCCTGTTTCTTGCTTTACTTGCTCTTCGGTCCTCGATATGGAGCAGTGTCTCCGAAAAGGCGGTGGACTTCTACCAGACTGCACGGTGTCACATAGGCTCTTCATTCGTGCTTCGTATTTGGTAATTCTTGGGTTCGAATTTCGGATCACAGATCAATTATCCGGATCGAGAATTTTCGTTACCTCTTTCCTACCCCTCCCCCCCTCAAGGGATATTTACCACAGGGCAGAACCTTGGCTTTTTTTATTATAACCTGCCCTCTTCCCACTTGACGCCGTACAGCCTGTGCAGTCCGGCTGGAAATTAATGTGAAGTAGGCTCACAACTTTACTGTTTTTATTAGAGTTGAGCCTTCTTGACAAGCCAGTAGTGGCTCAGCTGGTGACGAATGGAACCCGAAGGTACGTGACAGTTGCCAACATCACGCCACAAGGCCCGATCCCGAGCCAAATGAGCCCAGTCCGCACCCTGTCGCCATATTTCTTTGAGATCTATCTTAATATCTCCAAACTATGTTCAGATCTTCCAAGTGGCGTAACCTCTTAAGGACTTCCGACTGATGCTTTCGCCATCTGTTCCACATGTACTACATGTCCTGCCCATCTTATTGCTTACTTCACTGCGATCTCTGTAAATCAAACTGCGTGCCATCAAATGACCGGACGTCAGAGAGCGAGAAATTGTGAAGTCCGTGGGAGGAAGTGGCCACGGCCGAATTTAATGTGTCATCCATGCGTTAGCTGGAGGGACTAACGAAAACCATGAAAATCCTAAGTGGACACAGTCGGCACGCATTACAATTTTGGTTACAATGAGGCAGCAACAGCGGACACTTCACTTTATGACCTGCGCGCGCAACAGCAGTTCTCGCTCCCATGAATGTTTAGCGAGTCCCCACGCGGCGCCACAGACCTCTACAACTTCCATATTTGTGTGGGGCTTATCTGTGCCAGGGGCGAGTGTCCAAACGGGACTGCCCGCTCACTGTCCCATAATTTCATGTAGGTTAGCCCTTACTGAGGAGCTAATAGTTACTTAGCCACTCGATAAATTCCCATTACTGTGTTCACAACAGCCCTCCACTGGTCCCTATCGTAAGCCAGTTGAATCCAGTCAAAGCCCTCCCATCCTATTTCTTTAAGATCAATTTTATTATCAACCCACTATCTACATCTAGGTCTACCTAGTGTCTTTTTCCTTCAGTTATTCCCATCTAAGCTTTCGCATTACGTTATACAGTGATCATTACTGTGCTTCAGTGTTCGGTTAGTATTTGAGAGGCACCTGCTTCGAAGCTCGACGGGTTCTCCAGTAGATTACTGACCGATATCTTCACGTTTTGATGTCACGCTATTAAATCGAGTGCCAGCGGAGCGGCCGGGAACTATCACAGTTCAGACAGTGGTGCCGTCATCGGCGGCTGTTTGAACCGCGTGAACCAACTTGTACATCGAGTTCGAGAAAATCGATAGCAGTTCTCGAAGGCTCGCAATGCGGGAGTCTGGGCCGTCTGGGCTGTTCGCAAGCTATTTCTGTTCTGCCGGCAGTCGCGGCGTGTGGGCTGAGCAGCGCCGCGGGCCGCATCCTGACTTAAGGCATGGAGGACGAAGCAGCGACATCCACGGATGTTATGGCAACACCAGAACAAGTTCTGGCTGCTGGAGGCGTCTCCAAGAGACGCCGTGTTGTTTCCAGCTCCAAGAGGCGAAGTCCATCGGGTCACAGACGGCGAGCAGCGACGCCTGAGCCACCCCAAAACTTGCAAAGTGATCCAGACGAAGAAACTGAAATGAGTGCACGTGCGTCAGCAAGCAACACGGCGGCTGTCAGGAGGATCAGTACCGCTGAGAAAGCTTTAATAATGAAAAGAAGCCATTCCTCGCCCGGGGAGGCACGACAAACTTTGTCTCCAGGCGAAGTGAAACAAGAAAAAATTGCATCAAAGCCTGCAGAGGCACTGGGACAGGAACCCGACTTGTCTCCAACTAAACCTGCGGTCACGAAGCGGAAAAGCACAGCAGAAAAGATCCTGGTGACCAAACGGAGTCACTCCTCTCCTGGGGAGGGAAGGCTGAGTCTGTCTTCAACCGCGGGAGGCGAGAGGGAGGAACAAGGAGCCGTTGCGCCGCCGCGGAATAGGACGTTCCCGTCTGATGGCGTCGCGGGTGGAGAAAGTGCAGATGAACCGACTGTCAGGAAACTGCAAGACGGGTTGCCCGGCGCGGAGCACGACGACGCCGGAGTTGGGAAAGAGCAGACGCCGTCCCCAACAGAGGCAGCAACATGCAAGGAAGTGGTGTGCGCCAAACCGGCTCGCGAAGCGACCTGGGGACCGTTTTTCCGTGACGCGCGTCAAGAATGGAAGAGATTTGTGACCGAACACAGCGATCAGTGGAACAAAATAATCGGGCAGAGGAACCGGTGTCTCGGCGCCCTCGTCGTCATGTGCATCTACTGCGGGCTGGGGGGCATGGTCTTCCGCTTCACGGAGGGGACGTTTGAAGCGTTCTACAAGTGTGGCGTGAAGCGGGTGAAGCGAGACTTCGTGGACTCGCTGTGGCTCGGCAGCCACCATCTGCTCGAGGACGAGTGGAAGTCCCAGGCGCGCAGGAAACTCATGGAACTGGAGACGCAGCTCCACGCGGCGCACGACGCCGGCGTCACGACGTACAGTGGGCAGCGGTCCTGGAGCTTCCTGAACGCTGTGCTATACTGCCTCACGGTGGTCACCACCATCGGTAAGGTTCGCACCGCGCATGCGCAGGCTGTAATCTTCTGTAGACTAAGAGAGGCAAAAAATAATGGTAGAAAATTTCGTGGCAAAGGGAAAATCATGGGAGGATTGAGAGAAGTTTTATTTGGGGTGGGGTAGGGGGGGAAGAGCATGAGTCTGGTGGCTCCCAGACTCCGCCCACTTGTCCTTGTGATAATGGAGGGTGGACGTGAAGACGTTAAGATGGTAAGAAGCAGAGGCTTGAAACAGGGACCGCAGGATTTTGGTTCTTTGAATTAACGGCGAATTCGTTACATTTGCCCACCTGTCGGTATGTAAAACGGGAAAGACACGAAAAATAAACCTTAAACTATGACAGAAGTTTTACTAAAATTTGTTAGTACATTCCAGTTTTCAAAATCGGACAAAATTACAGGACATTCAAAATGCGCTTTTGCGAGCATACCGACCGCAACTCGCCAAATATTTATTGGAGCGGAAAACAGAAATTCCAGAGTCAAGTCAAAGTCAAAGTCACATTGCGACTGACGGTAGGTCAGTCAGTAAGTCTTGGTGTCGAACCCCATCTGGGACTCATGACCAGATATTAATTATTACCGTGTGACAGTTACAGTCTTATTTTTGTGGCGCGCCCTCTCTGACGAGAGGACGGGTCTATCTTTCGCATATGCTGCTGGCCCTTGCAGGGCGCTCTTTCTCGGGTACGAGTCCCTTGGGACTCGCGACCATATTTTACTGTCTCAAGTTTGAGACTTCCCTTTTCGTCGCCTCCTACGACTCGCAGGGTCACGGTCGAGGTATTCGAACCCGCCTCCATACGGGGGACTGGCTTCCAGAGAAAAATAATTATATATTTTATGTTGAATACATTCCTTCGGTAACCTCTTATTCTTTTCAGAATAAATAAGCAGAAACGAGCGAAGCGGCCAGCATTCTTACGGCGTGCACAAATTCGGCACATCATAAAAATGTTTTTGGGGCTCAAATGAAAGAGTTTTGGTATTACGGGGCAGGATATTCAATTTGTGTAGTTCTGAGTAAGATAATTTTCCTTTTTAGTTCTTTATGGCTTTAAGTAACGAGATGTGTACATGCAGGAAAGTGCGCAGGCGCAGATACACAACAGCACAAACAGAACACGTGTGCACCGCTACATAGCTGCACGCGCAACGGGCATTCACGTACAGAAGTTTGGTTAGAGGCAAGAACAATCAGGACCATTCGTGTGGCATCTGTTCAGTTATTTTAAGACGTCTATCCATGTACTGAGGATTATTATGCATACTGAGCCGATACTCAAGTTTTATAAACCTGTAAACTGTGTGAATGCAGCCTCTAGACGAAACAAATTCGATAATTTACAGATTACTGCCCTGTTTTGGGCCCATTACTTTAACTTCGCACTCGGTGCCTCCGGAGTCAGGATCCCTCTAGACTGGTGCTCGGTTCGAGTCTTGATCGGGATATCGGCTGCACTTACTAAAGTTCTTCGTTGTTTTATTCAGTCCCTTCAGGAAAGTTTCGGTTACTACCTCGCTCACACCACGGACGCTTCCTTCCCAATCCATTCTAATTCATCATTCACGCAAGATCCTACCATTCGAAACAACTCACAAGAGAGCTGCGCGCTCAGGCAAGAAGCCAAAGGAGGTTTCCGACCTCGGACCCAAGTACCGACAGCGTAGCGACAAAAGTGCGCATGCTCGCCGCACGTCACCAACACCCAGAAATATCTCGAAACGTCACTTTCGTTCAATGGCATGACAACTGCTTCAATTGTTCACTACTAAGCAGATCGCAGTGGCCGGCCGCGCGGTCTAAGGCATGAACTGTCTTGGTCATGAGTTCGAATCCCAGTTGAGGCATGACTGTCTGTGTGTAGGTTGCGGAACTGCGACGGGCTGATCCCCCGCCCAAGGAGTACTACCGAAACTGAAAAAGAGGCCAGGGCCAAAGGAAGGGCTGTAGAGCCATTGGTGATTGAATGACTCAAGTAGAGCTAGTAACCCCTCAGAGCATGAAACACTTGTAATAATGTTTAAACATGTCAGTTCACAAAGAGAACATTGCGTCTGTTACGAGCAAAGGTAAGAGCGTCTGTCTGTGGACTACTTCACGACGCTGTTAGTATCTGAGGCTATATGACGCCTGTAGTTAGAACAACGGATGAATAAAGAACTAAAGAGCATCTGGAAGGAAACAGCTGCGACAAAGTCAGGGAAATATCCCTACATTTGCCCGGAGGAAAACCACGACAGCTGATGATTCAGGCCGATATTTGAACGGAGCATGTCCCGAATCCAGAGGAGCAGCTTCGCATCCCGAGTGGCGCCGCACTGCAGCAGTCACGCGTCGGGTCGATAGTTCTGACTTAACCCGCTGCCCGCGACCCACCACATCATGTAAAGTTCCGCGTATATTAGCATCCTGTTTAGAATTTGTTTGCCGTCCGCCATGCAACATTATGGGGGGGGGGGTGCGCGGCGAGGCATATGCCCGCGGAGGGAAGCAGCCACACAGACCGAACCGCCGGGCCAGAAATAGTCCCGTCGCTATATTTAGACCACACATCACCGGTGTTCCTGTTTCCCTGCCTCATCTTCGTGCATCTGCCCGCGATGTACCGGTCACTACCAGCAGATCAAACGCTTCTGCATGTACCCGGTTTGAGTCCAGGCTGGGCCACTGTCTATCTGTGCCTGTAATACCGCTAAATGCTACTGTTTGATGGCAATATGACACGTCACTTCCTCCAGCGAGACCGTGCCACAGATAACCGATCCGGGTGACCTCACGAAGTCCGATCTCGTTCACTTTCCTCCCTGCCAGTCACCGCCAGCCCTGAGTTCAGCGGGCTGACTTACTTGCTCCCTTCTCTGCTCCAGGGTACGGCCACATCTCCCCCTCCACCACGACGGGGCGGGCCATCACCATCCTGTACGCCATCTTCGGCATCCCCATGTTCCTGATCTTGCTGGCGGACTTCGGCAAGCTCTTCACGCGGGGCATCAAGTTTCTGTGGGCCTTCGTGCGCCGCCTCTACTACACGGGCAGCTGCAGGAAGGTGCGGCGCACCGTGCCTGTGCAGGTTAGTAGCTGTCCCCGCCTCAAGGTTGCGCTCGGTTGCACAGTCTTCACGGCCGCACGTCTTTATCGGTTTAAAGTGGAAATGTTCCATCTGATTCACATTATAAATGTAAAAAGAAAGGGTAAAGCTATCCCTGTAACAGGCCGTGAAGACCCATAGGGTTGTGAGACGTCGAGGCTCCCACATTTACTAGATAATCGGCTCACAAACAGCGGTGAGATTGTCAGCCTTACACGCCGGCCGTCATTTATCCCCAGGAAGATTCCTGGTACTCATTTCTGAGTCGACCCCAGGGCCGTAGAGCGGCTGGAAGGATTAGGTAGACTGAAAAACAAATCCAATTACGTCATTGGGAATCGAACTCGCGACCTTCCGGCGTGTAGCATAGTGCCTCAACCAACTACGCTACCGCGTGCTCCTATGTTTCCCATTATACATAGACGAAATTATGGACACATAATTAATTACTATGGGTTGAAAGGTTCGAAATCAACAAAACAAAATGCAGTCGGAAACTGCTCTTTCCCTCAACATTTTAAAGTTGCTTTATTTACAATATGTCCAATGTAAGAGCACACATATGGTTTGTGGCAATATTCATGTGTTGCTGCGGCCCATCTTTTGGACACCCCTAGACGAATCTTGGACTGCAGCGACTGGACCGCTCGGATTTTGTTTTCCCGTCTGCCCGCTCTGGCAAGTTTCCCTTACACCAACTTAAAATAGGCCAGGGCCACTTCGCGTTTTATAACGGACATGCAAAATTCACTATCACTGTATATCCTATGCAGTTAGCAGGGGGTCAATCATTCAAGAATTTTTAGTTCATAACAGATCAAACACCTAGAAATTCGGTTACATAAACACCCTCGTGCTCACTGATATCGTCAATAGAGCGAAACAAGTCGGCCGCTCCCCGCGTCAAGTCGGACCAGCCTATAAGTTGCAGATCCGCTATCTAGGAAATTCGCTTTCCGTGGTTCTCCTCGGTGTCTGCCGGTATAGTAGCGCCCTGCACCCAAATCGCTTGTGTTGCAGGAAGTGATGAAGGGAGTGCAGCTTGTGTATGACTTCGCGACGTTTCGACGCCCGAGTCAGATGGTGGGCGAGCCTGGAGGGGCGGCGCCCATCGCCCGGCCCGAGGACGTGGAGCTGCAGGTGCCCCTCAACCCGCAACCGCAGCCCAACATCCCCCTGGACAGCAACGAACCGCCGGGAACCCCCGCCATCAGCACCTTCGAGGTTGACGACGAATTCAACCTGCCCATCTCCGTGGCAATCGTCATTCTGCTCATCTACATCTTCGTGGGGGCCTTCATCTACTGGACGTGGGAGAACTGGGGCTTCTTCGAGTCCTTCTACTTCGTGTTCATCTCAATGTCCACAATAGGATTTGGAGACTTCGTCCCACAGGTATGTCTCGTCCTCCTCTCCTGTGTGTACGTACACATACAGGAAATCTCAGGTTACCATAGCAACCAGCCTTCGTGAGTAAACACGCTGCAGTTACGCAGTTAGGTCTCGGATTGTTCCGGTGTATCGTGTCTATTGTCTGAGTACTGACAATATTTCGATGTTGAGGATGATATAGCGTTAAACACCGGCCTCAATGTATCACTCGATAAAATGTAGGAGTGTAAAGGAATGCAGAAGGCAGGGAAATTAATTGCACGAAAGCTCATATAACACATGACGACACTCAACGGGTGTTAAGAGTGTTCTTAACACAAAACACCGCAGTTCTTAATAGAGTTTCCTATCTCGTCTGGCCTACAATTGAAAGTTTCTATTGGCACCAGACATTTGTGCTATATCTCCACGCCATTATCATGGTGGCCTGCAATTTTTTTACCTTTTAATGACAATTAAGCGTTACTGACCGCGCATTACAGTATTATTACGGCGCATGCGTGTGACCGAGTAGGTTGTGTTTGCCAGTAACACAGACATTACGCCAAATCACAAGGCGGCCATAGGCGCCAGAGCACGGGCCAATTTAAAATTCCCCATCCCCGGAGTACAGAGATCAGTAATGCTTTTGAACGCAACGATATTTTTTTTTCGCTTAGTTGGGGGTGGGGGGGTGGATTCCAGCTGGGTCCAGTCGGCACGGCGGCCACTGGCTGACGTATTGTAGCCTGCCCCGGATGATTATGATGATGAATTTGGTGGAATGAAGATTGGCAGGGGAAACCGAAGTACTCGGAGAAAACCCGCCCCAGCGTCACTTTGTCCACCACAAATCCCACTTGACCAGACCCGGGATCGAACCCGGGCCGCCGCGGTAGGAAGCCAGCGGCTAACCGCTTGAGCTATGGCGCGGCTATTGCAACGAAATTACTTCTACAGTATTTGCTTTTGCGAATCCGGTACAAGTGTTTAAGTATATGTAGTGTACGCTTGCCATACTTGTCTTCAGAAGAGATAAGGAAAACTCTGGCTCTCCCTTCGGAGAGAAAAGTATTCAAAGAGAACTGAAGCATTTGCTACCAATTTCATATGCTCGTACTCCGCTGACAGCAGATAACACGTCATTCAAATCCTGTTTCGTTCCACATTTCTTATCGAGCATGAACATTGCAGTGGGCCGATCCCTCATCCACGGAATTCAACCAATTTTATATAACTACATAGTTTCAGATATTAATTCTGTACCAGAAGATGCCAGAGGGAAGGAACATATTGAAATGCCTGTAAACGACCAATTAATTTGAAATTGCAATTTTTGAAATGAGTATAATTATTGAGTCCTTGATGTGTATTTTTGCTAACCGTCTTACAGTGCACACAATTTCACCTTTCTCTTCACTTTTACACTACATGTAAAAGTAGTGTAAAAGTGAAGAGAAAGGTGAAATTGTGTGCACTGTAAGGCGGTTAGCAAAAATACACATCATGGACATGAATCAATGCAACAGGACGCTAAAATATAACATAATTATTGAGAATTAAAACTCTTGGCTCATCTGTACTGTATTAATATCTTTTCAGACGTCTTCGATAAAGTATCCTGGAGCACAGCGCACGATTTATACAAAGAAAATAAATTGTTGTTATAGTTAATACATATAAACATTATTTCATTTAGCATAAATACTACAGCAAGTATTTTACCATACTATTTTCGTTTTTACTTTAAACTGTGTGTACATACTTACGCGTACAATTTCATTTCTGGTAATTAATCATCTTTGCATTATTGCATCTTAGTGCTAATCATTTTAACAACTTTTACAGATCCTAATGTAGGTATGCTACGCTTTGATTGACTGGATTTCTGGACTTTGTCCACGATCTAGTATCACGAATGGGACATGTTTCGAAAACTGAATTTATTTCCAACCTCAGGTGCAAAGGCTATTCAATCATTGAGATCAACTCAGTAAAATGGGTCCAATTCGGCAGTCAATTCCTCACCTCTGTACCTGAGGATGGAAGCAAGTACCGTTTCTGAAACACTGTGTTCTATTTGGAATACCAGATATTGATAGGTAACAGAAGTTTTGAAAACTTGGCACAGTTCAGATATTTGGGAACGACGATAACAAATCAAAACCTGATTCAGGAGGAAATTAAGAGGCGATTGAACTCAGGTAATGCTTGCTACCATTCAGTCCAGAACTTTTTGTCTTCTCGTCTGCTGTCCAAAAACGTAAAAATTAGAATATACAAAATTATAATTTTGCCTGTGGTTCTGTATGGGTGTGAAACTTGGTCTCTGACATTAAGGGAGGAACACAGACTGCGGGTGTTTGAGAACAGGGTGCTGAGGAGAATATTTGGACCGAAGAGAGATGAAGTGACAGGAGGTTGGAGAAAACTGCATAATGAGGAGCTTCATAACTTGTACTCTTCTCCAAGTTTAATTAGAATGATCAAGTGGAGGAGAATGAGATGGACAGGGCATGTAGCACGAATGGGGGAGAAGAGGAATTCATATAGAATATTGGTGGGAAAGCCAGATGGAAACAGACCACTGGGAAGACCAAGGCGTAGGCAGGCAGACAACTTTAAATTTAACTTAGAGATAGGATGGCATGGTATGGATTGGACTGATCTGGCTCAGGATAGAGACAAGTGAAGTGCTCTTATCAACACGATAATGAATCTTCAGGTTGCATAAAATGCTGGCAAGTTCTGGGGCAGCTGCACAATTCGTGGTTTCTCAAGAAGGGCTCAGCTCCTTGAGTGAGTGAGACATTGAACAAAGTCCAGAAATACTCTAATAATTTTGTTTAATAAATTCACATAGGCCTTACGAAAGTTAGCATTATTAATTAACAGATATTCTGATACATATTAAAGAAATGTCAGTTTCCGCAAAACGTTCGTATTGATGGTGCTGCATAAATACAGTCAGTGGCATGTAATGTTTCAGTTGCTGCAGATGTCATGTATTCCCAAGTATCCTTTTCAGAAATTTATTTTAATGTACCGAATAAATTTATGATAACTTTGCATTTGCTCATTTTCCATGCGCCTCTGGTGGCACAAAGTCAAAAAGCGTAAGTAACTCCGAGATATGAGGTTTCTCGTTTCGTCTTTGCAATTGCTTTCCATCGTCATGGTCATGAAACGCGGCTGTGCAACAGCGCAGGGCTGCCAGATGTGACAAAAATGTTGCAAAACGTAATTGTGAACATCTGCTTGTAGCAACAGGGCCTGTATGGTTAGCGTCTCCATTGCTATTTCTCAAAACGTAATTGTGAACAATCTTCACAAAATTAATTTTGTCAATGCTGCACCCACAGAAATTCAAAACAAGCCCACCGGCACAATGATGTTACTGGGGGCCGTGATACCGCTTAGGATTAGGCCCTGTGACACGCCTCCACCTCACACCCCTTCAACCCATCTAAGGCCACCCATAATGCACCAGGAGCACTTGCATGTCTTTAATTAATAGTTAAAACTGCAAAAATCCTTTATTTCGTTTACAAGACATAGCGGCAGAGGCGACACACACAGAAGTATTCAAAAATATATACTAAATAAAAATAAGTAACGCTATCCCTGCAACAGGCTGTGGAGGCCCATAGAGTTGTGAGACGTTGAGGCTCCCACATTTTCTAGACAATCTGCTCAAAGATGGCGGCGAGGTTGTCAGCCTTACGCGTCGGCCGCTCTTTACTCCCCAGGAAATTTATTTAATTAATTCCTGGTAGTAATTTCTGTTAAAGACTGAGTCGACCCGAGGGCCATAGTGCGGCCGGAAGGATTAGGTCAATTTAAAAAATAAATCAAATGACATTTTGGGCAGAATGGGGCCCTCACCTGGTGTAAAGCATTCAAAACCGCACGACTCTGCATTCTTTACTGCCGGCTCTTCATTTCGAATCAAGGGCCGCGTACCAACTAAAAGCATTAACCCCAAAATTATTTCAGAATTGCTAAGTAATACTAAATAAAAAAGGGTTATAAAACGTTTACATATATTTATGTCGAACTTTAATTTTGGGGGAAAAATTTAACAAAAGCATATAGCCCGGAGGAACTTCAAACAAAAAATATGCATTCTGACATTACTGAACTCGTTACAAGTTTCAGTCATAGAAATTAAAACCGAGTCCAGAGTCTAATTTGTTATGTTTACTGAAACAGCAAATAAGAATAAATAAATAAACAATAAAATGAAAATTGCAGAAAAAGGAACCTGTCCACCTTTCTTGTACTGGCCATCTAACACAGCGGTTTGTGGTTTTGTGTGTGTTGTCTGTAGAGGCTGGCGAGTTGCCATTGTTTTATGTAGGGCACTTCTGCGACGAACTATAATGGCTAAGTACCCTTAAAAGAACCTTGGCTTGGTATGTAAATATCATTTAGCTCGCAAATAAATTAACACTAAAAGGATGCATGAAAACACCAAAACAACTGTCTAGAAGCGGGACTAAGCGCAGTACACATTAAGTTCAAAACGAGACCCCATGACACTGGGGGCATGCATGCAGCAACATAGTGTCGCATTCTCATATGTCCCCAACCATCCGACATAGACCCATATGGGATCGTACTTCTGTTTCTAGCTGATGGCACCGTCACCTCGATACTCTGCTTTGTCAACATTTCGAATAAATCACCATTCGCTGTCCCCAGGAATGACTGACCACCATTGCATGACCCTGCCCTCGTCTTCAGACGTAGATCCGATACGCGATTTCTGTCGTAACTTACACTAAGTGGCCTCTCATTTAATCACTAACTGTAATAACTTGTTTATATGTTTACTGCCTTCTCAGGCATGAGTACAGAAAATCCGTCCTACAAAGCAAAATGCATCACCATACAGTCTCACCCTGCCTCTCGTTTCAAATCTCCTTTCACTCACTGTACAGAAAAACTGTATTATGAATAACAAAGGATAAACTCAAATTATTTCCTGGGTTACAAGTTACCAAGACTCCATAAAGTCCCGAAAACTTTTTTCATGTCCTAAATCCAAACATTGGCCGCCATTAAAGTTCCGAGTCCATGAGGCCATACTACGAAATTGACCGAAATTCAAACATAGGCCGCCATTAACGAACCGACACAATTCATCATTCCCAAGCTTTCCAACTGGTGCTTGCGCACTTACTATTCCACCCCTGTTCCAGTCACAAACAAACAAAATCTATAACTGAATGAAAAAGAGTCCAAATTTACGTGGCCCCTTCCAAGCAGTGCTGACACACGAGATGCAAACGGAACCATGAAAAGAAAACGTTCAACAGAGTAATTCACGTAAAGCCATGTCACTTGTAACGGTACAATTGTGCCTAGAGACTGGGGCATGAACCCTCATCGCAACTGGGGCACAGTAATTTAAATAATATAATCTGACATCATGAGAAAGTACAGCGTGAACATGCATTACTCACGTATTGTTTCTTTTGCTGGATTTCTGCAGGCAAAACAATACCAAGAAGTTTCTGCCGCTCGCCACGTCCACCATGAACTTTCATGTCTCGCTAAATAACTAACCTACCAACCGGTAGCCGGACCTAACCAAATTAACACATTCGGGGGATGTGCGCGCAGCAGGGATTGTTCATACATGTCAATCACACGGAGTATACCGAAAATGAAACCCACACATAATTTTACAGACATTACATTATGCTATGCTGTGACGCCGTGAAGTCTGGTAGGCTGTTCCCTATGTTTACATCAACGTGCTTCGTCCCTTTACTTGCTATGGTGAGTGCAGTGAGAACGTTTGCATGATTGCAAATGGCAGACTGTTTTTCAGGAATTATTCCATACTAGTAACCTTTACATTCAGAAAGTGACAGACTATAATTATGATGATGATGATGAGTCATTATCAATTGTAGGACCGTCCTCTCTGGTAGCCTAATAGCATGCCCTCGTTCACTTCTGGTCAGTGATTCAGTTTCTGGATTGAGTGGCTTTCCGAACAATTTTTATAATTTTCTGTCATTTCTCAATTAAAATGCAGTTAGGTCATGACCCTTACCAGTTGCACTGGTCATTCACATATCTGATTAACACTGTACAACCTCAGAAACTGACATAGGGGCACTGAATAATCTCTAAAATGAAACAGACTTTCCTTCATACCCTTACTGTTGACATGTGTATACAGTAAGGGCAAACCTATCCCTGTAACAGGTCATGCATGCCCTTAAGGTTGAGAGACATCAAGGCTCACAGATGGTGGTGAGACTGTCCGCTTTACATGGTGGCCAGACGGCCTTTACCCCCAGAAGTATTCCTATTTCTATTTTAAAATTCCGAAGAGTTGGCATAACAGTAAAAAAACTACTGAGTCACCTCATAAAATACTTTTAAGCAAACATTATCCCTCGTACAAAAATGGAAAAAAATCAGACTGTAAATGTCAAATGCCGAAACTCTGAAACTGCTTGTTTACATTTCCTGTTCCACATGTCACAAGCAGTCCCTTAAAGTCTACCCTTAGGATTGTATATTCATCTCAGATTAAAGTCACATGACTTAAGGATCACAACTCATGACTAACTTTTGAATGTCAAAAACATCATCTCAAAACTTCCTGTTTATCCACCAAAGTAACAAATATAACATACCCTTACTGTCATGGGTTACTTTACCTTAACATAGCTTCAGTTCAATGCTATTCCTGTATGCCTACAGTTCTAGTTGGCCTCTCCACAATTCCATATTTGAAACTTGTTAAGTGCTCCTGTAAACTTACACAGGAATCACGATAACTGTTTATGAAGAAATGGAATTCTAGTAAAATCTGTCAGAACAGCTTAAACAGATACCAAGCCTCTCTGCAGCAGACTGTGTGTGTGTGTGTGTGTATTTACTATACGCATGGTAATGTTCTATTTGCAGCATCCAATGTACATGATGGCTTCCATTGTGTACCTCATATTTGGCCTTGCACTAACATCGATGTGCATCAATGTTGTCCAGGTAAGAATTTCCAATATCAGTTTCAGTTGTAAAGACATTTAATTAAAATGAAATAATTTTAATCTGCATAGCAAATATCAACCAACCCGGTCTGAGGAAGCAGACTGAGTGCCTGCTAGGAACAGAAAATGTCTGGCACCCGGTCTGAGGAAGCAGACTGAGTGCCTGCTAGGAACAGAAAATGTCTGGCACCCGGTCTGAGGAAGCAGACTGAGTGCCTGCTAGGAACAGAAAATGTCTGGCACCCGGTCTGAGGAAGCAGACTGAGTGCCTGCTAGGAACAGAAAATGTCTATCACTTCCACAGATCTATCACAGCAAAGAGTAACGCTATCCCTGTAACACGCCGTGGAGGTCCATAGGGTTGTGAGACGTCGAGGCTCCCACATTTTCTAGACAATCGACTCACAGAGGGTGGTGAGGTTGTCAGACTTATGCACCGGCCGCCCTTTAACCCCAGGAATATTCCTGGTACTCATTTCTGTTAGAGGCTGAGTCGACCACAGGGCCATAGTGCAGCTGGAAGGATTAGGTCAATCGAAAAATCCAGTGACTTCTTCGGGAATTGAACTCTTGACTGTCCACTCTGCAGAAGGCTTATCGTGTGCAAATTTAATTTCAGATTATGTTTCTAATATCATGAACAGGACACACAGAAATGAAATTGGCAAGAAGGGAATGCACTGTTGGCTAGATGGGTACTGACATTTCAGAGCCTAGTTCCTCCATCTTCAGGGTAGAAACCTTACAAAGGGGCTATATACCTTTATTGTTTAAGACACTTATACTAATATGTAGACATAGTTTATCCAATTACACATGTGCACACATGTAAAATAGAGTAAGTAAATATCTATATTCTAATTCAATGCACAGGAGAAACTATCGGACAGTTTCCGACAAGCAAGCGCGAAGATTGGTGCCACAATTGGGCTGCGAGTGAATGAGGAAGACGGCAGTATAACACCGGTACCACCGCCACAGATTGAGGTCCCTGAGGTCCACGGTACCGTCACTAAGTCGCAGTCAACATGAAACAGCCAAACTCTTCACGGATATGGAGTTGCTGATGTGCACAGCATGCCGCAACACCTGCCACGCGCTTTGCCTGTAAGTGAAGGCACCCTCATGCTCACCGACACAAAAATAATGCGTAAAATGACAAATTGTGCTGCTACTGTCACTGAATTTAAATTTTACATTTTGTGATTCGCTATATAGACGAATGCTAGTCTTATGGAATGTGATACCATACAGTATGGTAGATAGGTACCAACACTTCAGAAAAATGTACTGCTTCCATCATCAGAGAAGAAAGTGGAGCTGGTTTATCCAAAACATCTTCACCTATGTAAGGAACTACAATTGTGTCACATCCCGAAATACCATAACCTTAATGCTCACAGCTGTGATTATCTCAGCACTGTATATCTGCTTGTATGGTGTTCTATATCTGACATGCTCATCATGCTGAGGTGAGCTTAGCAAGAAGCAGAGATCTGTTCTCAATTGGCTTTGCTACTAGAAACAGGTTGCTTATTATGTACACAGACTGTATATGAACGTGAGAAGAGAATTATGTAAATCGGTTCTTCAGTACATAGCATTTACTGCCAGAATAACTAATGTCTATTTACTGAAGTGTCAAGTCATTACATAAAGTAACAATGCGATGTGTTCCAAAAAGCTCACCAGCGCAACTCAAAATATACACCGAAGTGGTGATGGATGGTACTGCCCTGTGAGTTTCAAATACAGAAACTTTAAGGACTGCTCTTTTCTGGGATGTGATGATATTTTTTCTGAACGAAAGTGAACCTTTTAAGGGCCTCATAATCTCTCAACACTCCTTCGAATCCTACTGGTTCCTGATCTCAGTCCCCATTAACCATACTTCTACCTTACTTGGCTTTCTCTTCTACCCTGAAGATGGAGGGAGCAGGTTCCTCTGAAATGCTAGTATGTACCTGCCTACCAGGCTAGATGATGTCACATCCCAGAACATCTACTTTTCACAGTCACAGCCACAGCCATGACCTCAAATCTCACACGGTATGTTTTACTTTGAAAATGCTGTACAGGAAATGCATCACTTACTTCCTTGCAAAGCACAAGAGCAGCTCTTACTGATGTTTCTGTTTGTGTGCAGTAATTTCATAGAAGCGCAACATGAAAAACTGAACTGCATTGCAACTTCAGTACTCTGCTGCCTTACTACGTTGCTCTAATTTCTTCGCACCGTCTATACGACTTATCTTCAATGTGCCTTCTGTTGTTCTACTGTTTTAAAGTGTGTAAATTCAATAATTTTAAAAGTTAACATTTCAAGAAATGGACTCGATACTAGTTTCTAATATGAAAGAGTAATTTTGTATAGATATTTTGAATGGTTCTACATTTCTGCTGATATAAAGTTGTCATCTGCTTATATAAATACAGGATGAATAAAGGATAATGCAATCTGGGCTTCATTTGAAGAGTTCTTTATCTGGAATACAGAGCCATGTAGTCCGAGATCTGTGAGAACCTCAAACCTTACATGAACCTCACTTTCTTGTGTGACTGATGTGAGGACATCAGTACACCACAGTGTACAGTATTTGTAAGGTAACGTAAAGCTATCAGCATGGAGACATATGGGAGAGTGGAGATACTCATACAGCTCCAAAGTCAGCCCCACATCACTCCCAGAGAAACAGCCCTCAGTATCCCTAACGGCTGGGTAGGCCCAAGAGTGAGGCTCGATGCTATGAAGAAGGGTTCTTGGCCCTCCTGGGAATCACACCCCGATTTCTCAGTTGTCCAGCCCAAAACCTAGTTGTTACACTGACAGCTATACCTGCTCCTACCAGACCAGAAAGTCAGTGTTTTACACAAGATATGATGGGTGTGCCATGGAAAGGGCTAATTAGTGAATCACCAGCATCAAGTAACACTACCCACCAACTGAATGCAGTCTACATCACCACAGTCTGTTGCCTTAAATTCCTATTCCAACTCCGTTTACAAAACAAAGACACTTTACATACTCTCTGACATATGAGCGAGACTACAATACCGCGTTGTTTAGAGACATATTTTGAGGCCCATTTGCAGGGCCTATGTTTTTGTAGTTCCGAGTGTTCAGATTCACTCCACACTGAGCTAGGATAGATAAATCTTGAACACCAAATACAAATAAGATTCCTCCCAACCATTCAGTGTTAGTGAGGCATACATCCATACAAAGATACAAACACACCGACAACACTATAAAAACCAAATTTTCATATGTACCACAGCTCCAAAAGTGTAAATCCCCCAAAATCTCAGGATTAAATATTCTCACAGTCACAATACTTTCCCATATATACTGTGTACATGAACAAGTAAAAAGAACTGTGTGGAGGTTGCATCTGTCCGCGGCCTAGTATCAGCACCTAAGCCATCAGACAAACATTCCTCAAACTGACACATGGGAGGCTCTTACTAAATGCACTAACAACATTCCAGTTTTCAGCCATACTGATTCATAACAAAACCTGGGTTACATAACGGCACGTCCTATAAACCGTTACACATATTCTGTTGAAATATCCACATCAATACGAATGTCCCACTTTTGTCCAGGAATAGCAAGCACTGTCACTGCGACATATAGCGCAGAGTGACATGGAAAGGACAGGAAAAGAAATGATCGACTTAAAACCAAAATTATGTGACTCTCTCGTAATATTTGTTTCATGATTCACATTCAGCCTATCCAGCCAGGACGCACAGCTGCCATACGTTTGCTTCTTCCCGTAATAGACTTCACAGCATTTCAATTACGCATCATGGGATGTTGACAGAAACACCAACATTATAGTAAGATGTAAGTTACAGCACTACACAGCAAGGGAAACCAAGCGTGCACACACACTACCAGAAAAAAAAATCTGTCATGCAAATTATAAACTTCGACAGTGGGTGTGTCCTTGTCCTGGGTCTGGCTGTATTTGTCAAGCAGTACAAAATTTCCCAAATCATGCAAAACAAGTATCAGAAGCACTGCTCACTGCGGGGAACCATCTTAAGTCCTAAAAGAATAAGCCTTGCACATTTAACAAATGCATCTCTAACTCCCAATGCCGTCATTCCTCATAAACTGACATTCAGAAGCTCACTGCGGGGAACCATCTTAAGTCCTAAAAGAATAAGCCTTGCACATTTAACAAATGCATCTCTAACTCCCAATGCCGTCATTCCTCATAAACTGACGTTCAGAAACTCAAGAGTTTCTTCTGAATGTTACGTTAACTGAAACAAGTAACCTCCAGTGTTCATACCTCCATCTGATACATGGGAATCTTCTGTGCCACTTCACTTCCATCATAAATAAACATTACACTCAAAGGAAAGCAATACATATGCATACACTATATAGAACACTATGGAGCTGTAGTCTCCAGCACTGCCAGTATTGGTACGACCACCTCAAACAGGAGGCTAGGGCGTCAGCAACGTTGACACTTTAATCTTGCCGTCTCCAGACGATGCGGTAACGCATGTCGCACACTGGTTTGCTATTGCCCAATCAACTGCTAGTGTTGGGCTCCGGTGCCCACCAAGTTCCAACATGCGGCTGAGACCACTGCCACAGATCTGTAAATATGTTTGTGTAAGCAACATTCTTGAGTAACCATCATTAAGTAACATTTCACTTAAACATTTAGTGATACAGTGATAAGTTACACAACAGCATCTGAAAAGTACATCATACTGTCATGTGCTGTTTTGTATGGGTTTGAACCTCAGTCTCTCACTCTTAAGAGATGAACGCAGACTGAGGTGATTTGAGAGCAGGGTACTGGGGGGGAGAGAGAGAGAGAACTCTTCAATCAACAGGTAGAAAGAAAGGAAAAGCAGCAGGTTCCTCTGAAACATTGTTACTCACTTACCAGACTAAACGGTCTCACAACCCAGAAGAGCACAAGCTAAACATCCACCACTGTGGAAGCCTCAAATCTCATGTAACTTGACATCACAGAACGTCAACATGTATACCTGCCAATTTTCTGTCGTTATCATCACAGTGCATTGCAGTAAGTACCTGGTATATAGTGCCACCATTATGGCCACACGTCAGTACATGAGTTCCTGGAGGGTCAAATGCGAACAGCTGCCCATGGGGCACTCCCAGATTACACAAGGGTGGGCAGTTCTGAAGGGTGGCCTCCCACAGTGCTTGTCCACTCTGGTTTAAACTTCGTTGGCAGAGCTGGAAAAGAAAATGACATGGCTTGAAAGACTTGCCAAATTTTGGCAAATCGGATGTGGTTCTCTTTACATTTTGTGGGGTAATTATAGCATTCACAGTGCACCACAAACATGACATGCGTCCTTGGGGCTTACCTTCACAATTAGCCAAGAGTGTCAACCTCGAAATGAGGAAATGAAAGCCAATGGAAAGAGAACTCATTTTCTTTAATTCACTTAATGGGGGGGGGGGGGGGAATCCTACTGGGTCCACTCAGCACGGCAGCCACTGATTGGCCTATTGTAGCCTGCCCCAGGTGATTATGATGATGGAGACTTTGGTGGAATGAAGATTGGCAGGGGAAACTGAAGTACTCGGAGAAAATCCGCCCCAGCGCCACTTTGTCCACCACAAACCACACTTGACCAGACCTGAGATCGAACCTGGGCTGCCACGGTGGGAAGCCAGCGACTAACCACTTCAGCTAAGGCGCGCCCTCATAGAGAACTAACTCACAGCCTTGAATGACGCACCAAAATATAGGGAAACAAAGCATTACAATGAAAATTGTCAGAAATATACTACAGCAACTCAGAGATTACCATTTATTCTTGGAACACCCTGTACTGTAGAGGGTTCGTAAGCAATCTACAAATTGTGAGGCCACTTGCCTTTCCATCAGATCCCAAAGTGTAGCATGCTGTGAAGTCTGCAGTCAGCTGAATGGCAAGGGTTTCACCTTGGTGGGCTGTCCACGAGTCAATACATTCGCTACGACGTAAGTCAAATATCCTGACAACGCCATCATTGCATCCCGTCACCAGCAACTGTCCATTGTGGTTGAACGTGCAGCATGTGGCCACAGTAGCACTCTGGGCGCAATCCAGCGTCAGGGACATCTGCCAAGTTCGAACTTCATCAGTCACGATACGAGTGGAATTCCTACAACTACACAAGAACTTTTTGTTTTAGAATGCTTTACTACACTCGTCACACAGCATCACGAGATGTGATATGGTGATCACAACTGATAATGTGGAAAATACATGGAAAGAAGTCATCAGGCCCTCTTTCTAAGGATCCTACTTCATCATTCCCCAAGAAGCAGACCTCATGATATTTCAGTCAGGTCCCATAAAGCTGAAAGAGCAGGGTGGTCTTGACTTGCAGTTCCGAAATGCTTGCTTCAAATTTCAGCCACAACACCAGCTATCAAGACTAATGTTTCTGTGATTTTCCTCAGTTCCTTCATGCAAATTCCAGGCCAGTAAGTACCTTGATCCAGCCAGAACTGCTTCCTTCCAAATCTTTTCCAGTTCATTACTCTGCAGACATCCTACTGTTCGCTACTACATACATATAGTCTAGATACTGAAAGCATTAGGAACCAAGAGAGCTCAGTCAGTATAGTGACTGACTATGGGCTAGACAATTGAAGGGTCAGAGTTTGAGTCCCATTAGGGTCAAGAATTTTCTCTTCTCCACGTTGTCCAGACCAGCTCTGGAGCCCACCCAGACTCCTATACAATGGTACCAGGGGCTCTTTCCCCGGGAGATAAAGTGGCAGGAGCGTGAAGCTGACCACTCACCTCCAGTTAGTGCCAAAAAAAAAATATATATGGATCTGTACATCCACTCCCCCATACACCTTCATGGCATAGTGCTTAATAAGTTACCTCAGGGACATATTTACCTTTTTACTGAAAGCACTGTAGAACCCATACACGCATTTTCATAATGCTGGCTACATTTACAGGCAAATAGTGTAAACATGTAACGACTACTACGTTGCTTCTTGTGAACGATAAACATGTTTGCATTTCTCTCACTGAACCAGTGCTACTCTCCTTCTGTGTCATGAACTGATGACGCTTCGCTCACTGCCACATGCAGTAGAATGCTGAACAGTAATTTTCTATATACAGAACCAACCTCTAGCTTCTTGGTTTTAATGTCAAACAGCAGCAATTTGCCCGAAGCCTGAACAGGGGGTGCCACTGAACAGATAAATGTCGGCTCAACAGGACTGCAACAGATCGTCATGATCCTGCAAAGAATGAGTTAAACATGTGCATTGTGTAACAGTTCTGGTATGCTGTTTCATTAAATTCAAACCCATAAGGCATACGGGAAATGTGTGTTGGGCATAAAATGTACGCTTCATTTTTCTGCAGAACTTCTGTTACAGATATTTCTTCGCTCCATAAATATCACATCTGAAGTATGTGAGGATACATATCTCGATCTTCATGTAAAGCGTGGGCCAAATCTCATTAAAACTCTCCAACATCAAATTTCACGAAAATCCCATTCCGCAGTTCCAGAGCGGTTACTTGCAGACAGACCGACCGACAAGACATGGTGAAAGCAATGTGACCATTCTTGCAGATGTTTGTTGCTCACACATAAAAAAATGGCTCAACATTTCTCCAGCAATGTACTCATAATGAGGATGCAAGAATCTCCTCATACTGGCATTACAAATACATGAAACAAAAGCATAACGGGCGGGTTTAGCGCCCAGGCAGGGGAGACAAACACTTCCTGTCTTTACCCTTGTGACTGCACTCATTAATCAGTCATCACAAACTTTTATAAAACATTATAACTGTCTAAGCATTCACCACTTTAATCAGTGAGAACTGATTAATACTCGGCTAAGAGTGGTGGATCTATACATCCACTTCCCCATACGCCTTCATGGCGTTAATTAATTAAGCACAGGGACAATTTTACCTTAAGAGTGACCATTTACATAACAATAAAATGAAAGGAAGCATTATCTCTCAATAAACATGTATAATGCACTGTCAACAAGAAAAACAGAATTGTCAAGATTTTAGCCTTTAGGCATGCCACCTGATTCTGCTAGGCTTACTCGCCAACCCTGAACATGGCAGTAACATGAAGCTCCAAAACACAGGGATACCTCTGAACTATACACCACTGCAACCCCAGAATACTGGTCCATGGTCACTATGAGGAGAAACTCAGAACCAACAGAGAATTCTGAAATTCATAAATGGATGTGTGGGGTTACAGGACACTTCAGACAAGCACAGTCTGCGCTACACAAGGACAGAGGCTCAATCTCACCCACAGGGGAAAGGCACCTCATCACAGTACTTAAGCGTAAAGATCTGAAGAAATTAAAGTTTACTCATGTAATATAAAAATGTGAGAATGGGGTTTTAGATATTTCTGCATGACCTTAGTAGCCTGAGCTATTGTACACATTCACAACAATACACAATAAATTTCAAAATATCTTTGAGCGCCCTCAGTTCGGCCACAGCAGGAAACAAAAAGTAATTATAAAATTAATAGGAAAATTACATGTGTGTGCACACGAATATTAAATTTTTAGAGAGATAACATTTAAAGAAATACAAATAAAATATTCAGTGTTTGACAGTGAGATGTCCATAACCACAAGTGTGTGCTCGAAATCAGAGAAAGTCCAAAGATTTCAGCAACAATTTCCACAAGGCAACAGTAAGCCCCAGACCTGGCGTCCTTTAACGGGCTCACAGTATCAGCACCCAGCTCCCACACGATACGGTTGTCTCGAGTATCATAGAGCCGAACCAGACCCTGCTTGTTGCCCCCTATAAAGTAGCGTTCATTCTTGGTCACCCAGTCCAGGGACATGACAGCGGACTTGGATGCAAAAGTCGCCAATGTTCTGAAACAAACATATAGACAGAGCACACAAGTCCATAATTACATAAATAAAATGTACTCAGCATGTCAGTAAACAAAATTACATATGACAATGTCTGAGAAAGGCACTGGACAAGACACATTTCCGATCTAGAAACGTACTTCTTCAACATGACACTCCACATGCAGCCTTTTTTGCAAAATTATGAGACATGGTGTGACGAACATGAAGTTTCCCAGAAACTAAACTGTTGCTATTAACATCTTAATCCATACAAATAAAATTTGTTAGTTACAAGAAAGCATGGTCCCAGCAGATTGGTGTTACAAATGGGATCAATCTGGAATCCAACTTTAGTCACATCTAAAGGAAGAAGTACTTTCTTCTGCAATACAGTGACATGTGGTCTGGCAGAATTTCTATTATGCTCTGAAGAAATACACTGTCTCCATCTTCAGCACTGAAAGGTAACCCAAACAAGTAACCAGCAAGAAGCAGACGGCATTACATCCCAGGTGATCACTACAAGAACATCAATAATAATTCAAAAATAAAACTGTTAAAATAATATTGATTGTGTACAGCCATTACATATGAAATGCCACAAACAGACTTACTTTGGAGTGGGTGTCACAGTCCAAAGCTTTACAATGCCGTCAACATCGGCACTCACAACGGTAGATCCAGAAGAGTTGAACCGACAGTGACACACTGGAGCACGATGTTCCACATACTCCTCCTATGCACACAGACAGCCTCCAGGAAATCATCGATGACACTCAAAGGTGTACAGTATGCAACAGTGTCACTAGTTACCAGGTGCCCTCATGAAGTCAGGTCATTGTGGGTAACACCTGGCCGCAGGCCTCATGTCAGCTACTGCTTCTCTGTGTGGGCTCCTTATCCTGTTCCCGTGCTCTTGTGTTTCAGCGCACAATCCCATTCAATGAACATAATTCCCTATCTGCACACTTGGTGCATGCCTGAATGATCCAGATCCTAATCTTGAAACTGACAATGGCACATAACTCATTTTACTTCTACGTACGCTTTAGTGCTGCCAATTTGGCACAACTGCTTCAAACATCATACACATTTCACTAACTGAGGGGTACTCTTACGTAGGACGTGACACAGTGCAACCTGAAGAAGCAGAGCTTGTTGCCTGCTTAGTTTATTCCACCCTGAAGATGGATGCAGTACATTCCTCTGAAAGATCACATAACTTCTGCCTGACGCATCTGAATGTCAATGCTGTGAGAACCTCAAATCCAGCAGATCACTGCTCTGATTAACATACAACTGTATCACAATTCCCTGTCTTTTAAGAGATACCCGAGTGTTGCAGGAAGGAAATCCTCGGCAGACTTGGCATCTGCTTTCTCAGTTCCAAACTGTCCATGTCTCAGAGATGGAACTCATGTACAATTGATCATGATTCCTAAGATATTCATGAGAACTTCACAGATGCCATCACTGAATATCCTGCCCCCAAAACTATCATTAGTGTCACCTGAGGATGCCAAGGACTAGAAGGGCCTATATTTCGAAAATCTCTCTACACAATAACAAAAATAAAACAACTTTATTATAAATAATATTAACAGGAGAGCATTTACAGTCCCCATACTTGTTCATGTTCTTAGCATAAATATTCCGCGCTGTAGTTCAAGCGGTTAGTCACTGGCTTCCCACCGTGGAAGCCCAGGTTCGCTCCTGGGTCTGGTCAAGTGGGATCTGTGTTGAACAAAGTGGCACTGGGACACGTTTTCTCCAAGTACTTTGGTTTCCCCTGCCAATCTTCATTCCACCAATTGCTCCACAATCACCCTCACCTATCATCTGGGGCTGGTACAATAGACCAGAAGTGGCCGCAGCACAAGGGACTTAGTCCCGCCCCACTAGCAATAAAAGAAATAATGGCTTAAATATTTTATTTAAAAAATTAATACACATTTTGAAGTTAAATTCAAGACAATCCTTCTCTTTCAAACTCTGATAATCGGGCTGAGCTAACAAAACATTTCCTATGCCAAGTCTCATTGAACAGCACAGACATGTTGCTGTTCCCCCACTGTGACACATGATCTGGCATTTAGCCACAGAAACCATACAGACACTCTGACACATAACATAATAAGGAAATTAATACAGAAATATTAACTACAACATTATACCAAATTAATTTTATAGTATGCATCCTGTGGTGTGTCATATATAGGATATATAATATATACAATGAGGGCAGTCTACACAGTAATATTTCTGAAGAAAAAACTCCGGGGTTTTAGTGCGCAAGCAAACCATACCGGCCAAGTGACCGCCGCTTGTTGCCAAAGTTAGTGCCAACTTTAGCGGACAGAGGGTGTCACATGGTCAGTGAAACAAATACCCATGGTCATTAATCTCAGTTTTCTAGACCGGTGCCACTATTTCCTTGATATATCTCCTCAATTATCCTCACAAGGCTGAGTGCACCCGGTTCCAGGCCCACTACTTCTCAGGAAATCTGGTAGTGCTGTGAATCAAGCCCGGACCTCTGAATCTGTAGCCAGCAACTTTGACCACTAGACCACAAAATACATTCTACTGTATTAACATCTGTTTACTGGCTGTTGATGCCAATAAATATTTTTTTTTTTTCAGAAATACTGCTGTGTAGACTGCCCCGTTATATATATATAATTATATCCTACAAAATTAATTCTTTACTTCCAGATTACCTGGCTAAGCAGTAAGAAAGCCCCCGTGTTGCTTAGAGCTGATCCAGCCTGGCATGTGATTGGTTGCTGCTGGTACTTGACCCTTCTGTCAGGAGTCTCAACAGAGGGGTCACGAGTCGGTCTAGTCACGGGTTGCTCTGTGGAACTCTGACGCTTACTGGCCACTCCTTCGGCACTGGATGTCTTGCCTGCAGCCGTCCAGACAGCGCGTTGCTGTTGCTTCACACTGCTGTGTTTCTTCAACTGCTGCTGCTCCTCTGTTCTGCCTGAACCTCCCATTTTCACCTTACCAGGAGCACCTGTTGCACGTGAGTGGAAATGTGGAAACTAATTTGGATTACACATTTCCTGGAGCCATCCTTCGTGCTTCTGGATCTCGTCAGCCTAGACATTCATTTATTGGGAACACAGACCTACGCATACTGCAGAAAGACAAGAAAATGTGTCTTTGTGTTCTGCTGACTCTTCTCATCAAAAGAAAAAGTTTCAGGTCTATGTGATACTGTGTATGCTTTGTGCAATGAGCCATTTCTTACAAAAGTTACAGACTCAAGACTTGTTTCAAGTATTTTATTAAATAGACATGAACCAAAATTAAATTCATACTCCAAATGCCAAATTCTGTCAAAACCCATCCAGCAGTTTTAAAGATAAGAAAATGTACATGGACAGAGAGAGATGGGTTCTCATAAACATTTATACGCCAACAATATGAGTTTTGTGCAAAGACTGAATAAAAGTTTAATATCAGTTTCAAGACAGACTTCTGTCTGCAGGACAGAAAGCCAGCCTTGCCATGTCAGTCAGACTGGCTGCAACAATGCAATATTTTCAGCGTTACCTGAAGTGGACTGGCACAACACCTTCCGGCCAAGCATCGGACTGGTTGGTAGCCCACTGCCGATGTTACGGATCAGACTCTTCAATGTCTTGGCCTGACTCTCACCTGCAACTGAGCTCGTCTCCCTGGAAGTAATGGAATTACAACTGAAGATACGAGCACAGTCGCAAAGTGAGGCACATGTGACGGATGAGTACCGTCTTTTAAATTCTAATCTCCCAAAGTCAAAATTATAATGACTAACATTACTGAACCCAGCAGGCATTTCAGGAACAAAAAGAGGGAATATCTAAAAGACAAAATTGATGAGCTTGCAATGAACAGTAAGAACAAGAACATCAAAGACCTGTATAGAGGAATAAATTTATTTAAGAGGGGTTACCAGCCTAGCAGTAACTTAGTGAAGGATGAGAACGTTTATCTCCTTGCAGATTCCCACAACATTCTGAATAGGTTGGAGGAACTACTTCTCTCAGTTATTGAGTGTACGTAGGGTCAGTGATGTTAGGCAGACAGAAATCCATACAGCTGAGCCATTAATACCTTATCCTAGCCCTTTTGAGGTTGAAAGTGCTATTGCAAAATTGAAACGGTATAAATCGCCAGGTAGTGATCAAATTCTGGCAGAACTTATTCAAGCAGGAGGCGAAATATTACGTTCTAAGTTCCACAATCTAATTACTTCTACTTGGCATAAGGTAAATTGCCTGATCAGTGGAAGGAGTCTATTATTGTACCAGTTCACAAGGGTGATGAAACTGACTGTAGTAATTATTGGGGGATATCACTGCTATCAACTCATACAAAATTTTATCCAATATTCTTCTCTCAAGGTTAAGTCAATATATAGATGAAATTATTGGGGATCATCAGTGTGGGTTTCGATGTAACAGATCAACCACAGATCAGATCTTTTGCATTCGTCAGATATTGGAGAAAAAATGGGAGTATGATGAGACAGTACATCAGCTATTCATAGACTTCAAGAAAGCCTCTGATTCAGTTAGGAGGGAAGTATCGTATAATATTCTAATAGCGTTTGGGATACCCATGAAATTAGCTAAGATGATTAAAATGTGTTTACACGAAATGTAAAGTCTGTATAGGTAAACATTTGTCTCATAAATTTCCTATCCACAATGGTCTGAAACAAGGAGATGCTTTATCGCCACTCCTTTTTAACTTTGCTTTATAATTTCCCATTAGGAACGTCCAGGAAACCAGGTGGGACTGAAATTAAATGGGACACATCAGCTGTTGGCCTATGCCGATGATGTGAATCTACTGGGTGATAACATATATACCGTAAAGAGAAACACACAAATTTTAATTGAAGCAAGTAAAGAAGTTTGTCTAGAAGCAAGCACAGAGAAAACTAAGTACAAGGGTTGGAACTTTAATAGTGGCAACACTGCTGTAGAGACGCCATACAACAGAACCAGATAATGTCGCTTATACCACACGTTAGTTACATACCTACCCTACCTCAGAGCAAATGGACTCTCCCTTCCCACATCACGCGCATGCACAGTGACGAGAAGAACACAGCCTCGTGTTAGCTGGCGGTCTAATCTAGTGTGTTCACGATGTTCTCGAAACAGCAACAATGGAGTTGGATAAAGATTGAATGTGTCAGAGGCCATACAGCACTACAGTGTCATCAAGGTCTTCAAGAGGCTTTCAGGGAATCTGCATTGCATTACAGAACAGTGGCAAGGTGGGTAAAAGCCTTCAATGAGGGACGCCAAAATGTGGCAGACATGCGTCGGCCAGGTCGTCCTAGTGTCAGTGAAGAAGTGTTACTGGAGAGTGATCGACGCCATAGGATTTGTGAGCTGGCCCGAGAGACAGGATTAGTGCATACAGCTGTTCTTCACATGCTGAAGGAATGCCTGGGCATTAGAAAAATGGCATCATGATGGGTTCCGCATGATTTGAGAGAAATGCAGAAATGGCAAGCTGTGGCTGATTTGTTCGATTGATGGGGCTGGGAAGTGCATTACCATCATCATGCTCCCTGGACTTAAGCCCTTGTGACTTTGACTTGATTCCTAAGATGAAGGAACCACTTTGTGGCATTCGCTTCAGAACTGTTCCAGAGATTTTCAGGCAGTAGACTGCTCCATTCGAACTATCGACACAACAGGCACTGCTAAAGGTATCCTACGACTTCCACATCACTGTCAATGGGTTGTACACAATGCTGGTGACTACACTGAAGGACAGTAAAACTTTGAAACATGCATCTATTTTGTATCAGTTGTAAATAAATAGTTGCCACTATTAACGTTCCAACCCTCGTATATGTTGCTGTCTCGTCACCAAAATGCAGGGCATATTCATGTCATAAAGATAAGAAACAAATGTTTTGAAAATGTGGCACAGTTAAGATATTTGGGAACAACGATAATAGATCAAAACCTGATTCAGGAGGAAATTAAGAGGAGATTGAACTTGGGTAATGCTTGCTACCATTCAGTCCAGAACCTTTTGTCTTCTTGTCTGCTGTCCAAAAACATTAGAATAGAATAAAATTAGAATATACAAAACTATAATTTTGCCTGTGCTTCTGTATGATTGTGAAACTTTGTCTCTGATATTAAGGGAGGAGCACAGACTGAGGGTGTTGAGGAGAATATTTGGACCAAAGAGAGATGAAGTGACAGGAGGTTGGAGAAAAATGCATAATGAGGAGCTTCACAACTTGTACTCTTCTCCAAGTATAATTAGAATGATCAAGTCTAGGAGGATGAGGTGGGCAGGGCATGTAGCACGAATGGTGGAGTTGAGGAATGCATATAGGATATCGGTGCGGAAGCCAGAAGGAAAGAGACCACTGGGAAGACCAAGGCATAGGTGGGTGGACAATATTAAAATGGATCTTAGAGAGATAGGATGGGACTGATCTGGCTCAGGATAGGGATCAGTGGAGGGCTCTTGTGAACACGGTAATGAACTCTCAGGTTCCATAAAATGCTGGGAAATTCTTGAGTAGCTGCAGAATTGGCAGCTCCTCCAGAAGGGTTCAGCTCCATGAGTAAGTAAGTAAACATTATGTTTAATATTTCCTCCACTGTCACCAGGCACCTTTGATCCAGCATCAGTGGGAGACAAAACATGAGTAGGCAAGCAGATCTGACCAACTGACTGGACTGTTTCTGTCACCAATCTAGAATCCTGCCCTTGGGTTGGAGAGGTTCAAAAACAAGCTCTCTACTCCCCTACCTTTGAGTTCAGAGGCAAAATAATCACAAGCAGTAGCTGTGTGCCTTGCCTCAGATGGTATGATGTTTCTAGGTAATGTACTATGGGGCTGTGGGCTGTGTAATATAAAAACATGGAGACTGGTCGCAGGTACATTAGAACTACAATTTAGAGGGCTTGCAAACGGAAGAGACAAGCCACAGAATATTCAACTCACAGTGCAATAACATAGAAGTCATCCATGAGTTCAGCAGGTTGAGGGACTTCAGGAGCAGTCACATCTGACACGCTCGTCACGTTATTGCGAGCATTCTCAAGCAGGGTGACCACACGCAACCGCAGCGCTTCATTCTCCTCTTGCAGACGTTTCATTTTTTGAGCATCCTCCTCAAAGCTGACCAGCACAGGTTGCGGCATGCACTAACCAACACACAATATCTTCATGCCACTGTTTCGAACTGATGGCTCACCACTTAACCTACACTATCATTGTATTATATTAATTTTACCCGTAGATCTAAAAGCTGCTCCGCTGCAACACCAATTTAGCATTCCTTAATTCATCTATTTTTTATCACTAGTGGGGTGGGACTAAGTCCCTTGTACTGTGGCCACTTCTGGCCTACTGTACCAGCCCCAGATGATAGGTGAGGGTGACTGTGGAGCATTTGGTGGAATGAAGATTGGCAGGGGAAAGCGAAGTACTCGGTGAAAACCTGCCCCAGCACCACTTTGTCCACCACAAATGCCACTTCACCAGACACAGGATCGAACCCAGACCGCCACGGTGGGAAGCCAGCGACTAACTGCTTGAGCTATGCCGCAGCCTTCCTTAATTTAAGGTTATCCACAGTGTTTTTATATTGCAAAAGAAAGTTATTAGAATTATAATGCATTCTAGACCAAGAGAGTCGTGTAGAGACATTTTTAAGAATCTGGAAATAATGACGGGCTACTCTCAGTACATATATTCATTACTTTTATGCACAATTAATAATAAACATTTATTTAATTTTAACAATGAGATTCACATATATAAAACTAGAGCCCTCAATAATTTATATTTACCTGCAGTTAACCTAACAAACTACAATAAAGGTGCGTACATAGCAGGTATTAAAGTTTTAAATCATCTTCCTCAAAGAATAAAAATGTTGGCTACTGATGAGAGAAGTGTTAAATCTGCACTGCAGAAGTTTTTATATTGTCATTCTTTTTATTCCATGAATGAATATTATCAACATAATTGGTCTAAGTGTGTAAATTTGTAATGTATTTAATTCAGTTAATATAGGTAATTTAAGTGGCCTCCATAGTCTAGAGGTAATGTTCCCACCTCATGACTCGTAGTACGCAGGTTCAAATACCCGGCGGAGGTCGTCGAATTTTTAAGGGTGGAAAAATTCAGGGAACAAGTCCTCCGGGAGGGACTTTAAGCCGTGGGTCCCGTGTCGTAGCTTTACGGCATGTAAAAGAACCTCATATCTCCAAAGGAGGTCACTGAGCCAAATTAACGGATGTTTCCCGCCCAACAGCAGTCTCTAATACCACTGGTAGATGGGGGAAGCATTATAGATACCTCTCAGCTAGTAGAGCCGGTCTCGCTAGCTGGGCGGGACTGATGGTAAGCACCAGTACCGGTAGGATATAGAGACTGGTAGAAATCATAGAGAGAAGCACAATGGACCACTACAGGTCTAAGTGCATGGGGAAACCCACCCTCTCCAATAACTAACTAACATAGGTAATTTAAAAAAAACTGTATTAATTCAAGTTCTATAGTAAGTTATTTTTAAATTATCTTATTAATTTTTTTACTTTATATTATGATTTATGTTAATTAATGTGATTTTGATTATGTGACTCATGTAATTTTGTATATGTATCTTGATATATCTATTTTCAAAGGGGCCATTTCCACATCCTAGGTTTGTTACCTGTATGAATATATGGAAAATAAAGGAAATGAATGAACAAGTGATGTCCAAGTCAACCTCAGTGCTAAATTTCCTCTACCTAAGGATTTCCTTCTGCTGTGTGTTCAAACCCACAGATCTTAGGAGATATGTTAAATTCTGGCATTACTGTAGGCACTTACATATTAGTGGCTGACACAAGTAACTTTAAAATATTCTGCCATGCTGTCCACCACATCAGTTTTGCCAACCTTATTAATTTATTTGCAAAACAAGACCCAAAGCCTAACTTCACCAAGTCTACCTGCTCCCTACTCGTTTCTTGCTTTCAATGATCTACGCGGGATTATATCCCATATGATAGGACTCTTTGGTTATGAAATATACCTGGAAAATGGCAGCCAAGAGATTGTGCAAGGAAACCAGCAGATTGTCTTGCCACTGCCGCGTGAAATGTACTTGGAAAACTGGATTTTCTTCTGGATTCTTCACCCATGGCAACACTATAATATGCAGTCATATGATCCATAACAACTAAATCCATAGACTCAGAATTACTGCGTTTTTGGACTTTCTCCATTGCCCGGTTTTCTAAAATTAAAGAACGTGTTTCGGACGCTGGATCTGTTTCAGCCCTCAAGCGAGTGGGGAGACATTAATGTGACTGAGGTTAGTTCTTTCTAAGTGACCAATGGAGTAGGTGTCTCGCCCCTCACCTGAGGGCAAAAACAGACCCAGTTTCTGAAACACTGTGTTCTCTACTTTTTAGAAAACTGGACAAGGGACAAAGTGCAAAAACCCAGTAATTCTGAGTGGTATACACCATTATCAGAACCCTTCAGAATTTGCAGAGCAGGCCTGACAATGCAGTTCTATCAGACTTCAGGCTCTGCTGGGAATTATTCCTACTGTGGTTTTCTGGGCAATGATATCTGGCATTCTGGTAGATGGACAATGTTTCAAACAAACATGATGTTATTACAACAGCTCACAAATGCGGAACAAATACATCATTCCCAAGTATGTTTACATTGTACCAATGTATATTACATTTCTTGGAAGGTTAAACATACTCAGAAAAGATAATGGAATTTGTATTGGCAGCATAATTTTGAGTTGAGCTGCTCAACTTGACATGCCTGTGTTACTGCCACAGCCAAGGATATAAGCTCAATGTTAATTACTTAGTGGCCGTCTGACGCTAGCCTGCGAAATTATTGTGAGTTTTTCTGTGCAACGGTCTCTAGCTTTGATGCATCTAGCAGATGGTGTTGTGCCAGTGGAAGTCAAAGGGTTAAAATGTCATACATTTTACTGTCATTTGGTATCATAATAATTAGGCACGCACTCCAATGCACTGTCACACTACAGTCAACAATAAAAGAAATATTCTAACTGCTGCCATTCTCAACCTTTGCTGTTCCAGCTGGCTGCGTGTTGCATTTCCTCAGTGATAACACCACGGCCCGTGTTAAAATCAACAAACAAGCCCTGCATTACCAAAACTTTCAGAACTATCCATTCCCATACCATAAAGGTTAAAGTGCATATTTGTGTATCAACTTACTGAACCACTCTTTCCATTCTGCTTGGCCAATTAGTTCTGGTGTGTATTTGGCAAAGAATTCTGTAACCTTGTCCAACTTTCCACTGATCACAGCATTAACCAGATAAAATTTGAGTACAGCATTTTCCAGTTTGCGAACAGCTGTCAAATATCACAGAAACACAACAATCAGAAAATTAAAAATCCAGTATTTTAATGAGGGAAAGAGAATTTATGACATAAATGACCGATACAGTATAATTTAATTAACATATAACGGAATAGAAAAACTGATAATACATACATGGAGTAAAAGTATGTTCCAATTTAGAAAACATTCTTTGGTCCAAATGGGCCCATAGTTCCTTCAATGAACCGAGATCGTACGTATAAATGAACTGTAATAATTGTTCCACTATTTTATCCACCTGAAAAGAAACTCTGGTGAGTTCACTAGAGGAAAAACTGTTGCGGCAAGTTTACACTATGATGCAAGCAGCACAATTTTTATTTCATTCTTAACTATTACACCCAACATAAATGAACCTAACCTGTCATTTACAATGGATTTTACTTACTGGTTCCATCCCTAACAAAGACCATTCAACATTACCTACTGTGCAACCGTATCGTAATGTTGAATCGAAGGTAAAAGTAACGTTATCATGGATACGTATGGTGGAGTGGAGGTATAGCTCCACCATTCTTAACCTCGACAATAGGCCGAAACTTATGTAAACATCATGAATATGTTTGACATGCTACAATACACATTTCCTTACTCTGAAACTTTTATCCTTATCAACTTTCAGTTCAGAGTCGAACGCTTTTAAAGTTCCACTAAACCCTCGGTACAGTAAATACTCTCTGATCAATTCGTCCACATACTGAATATGCGCCATTTTACAGCAGAACGTTGCGCTGACCGCCGATTCGTGAATTCATGAAGTTTACAACTACTGACACAAACACACCACAGCGAAGTAGAATAATAGCAACGCCGTATTCTGTAACAGTCTGTGACGACTGAGGCAACCTTATTCCAGACGGATGTATTTCCTTTCTCTCGGAGTTTGCTCAACACTAGTAACAACCCTCACTCTCCTAAGAATCAAACCTTCAGCAATTTCTTTGCGGTTATAACTATTTCTTTCTCAGACTTTCAGAATTTTGCACTTCAATCTTACTTACTCTGAACACTTTTGCAATTTTCTGTGTTCTGTTTAGTGATCGAATTTAAATCAGCGACTGACTGCAAACCGCTGATGCAGGCAAAAGGAGGGAAGAAGGGAATTCAGACATTTGACCCTTTTGCATGGAAAAAATTCCGGTGGTGCCAATGCAGGTACCCGCTGTTATTTTCAGCCTTACGCGCCGGCCGCCCTTTAGCCCCCAGGAAGATTCCTGGTACTCATTTCTGTTAGAGGCTGAGTCCCCCCGGGCCATAGTGTGACTGGAAGGATTACGCTATCTGAAAAATTCAATAATCTCATCGGGATTCGAAACCGCGATCTTTCGGTTTGTAGCATAGTACCTAAACCAACTACGCTACCGCGTGCCCCCTACTGTAAAAAGTGGTATTCGATAATATAGGCCTATAGTACACACTTATTGGAAGAAAACAATAATCTCAGCTCTGAAAAGAAAAGCTCGCAGATTGCATTGGCACTGCTTTACATATGGCAAAAAAAGAGGAGTGGAGCCGGACACTGGGGTGTGAACACGAGGGACGAGATTTCGTATTACAGATTTAGAAATATCGCTGCAGACATATATCAGGAAGGTAGTAGGGTCAGAGAATGAAAAAATGGCAGAACATTGGGATACGGGTTTTTGGACCTGTCCATCGTCAGGAATTTTGAAGTTCAAAAAGCCATTAATCCCGAGCGTCAGAGTGGAATATATTGTATGTAATATTATTTATAAAGAGAAATGTGAGAGGATGACAAGCAAAGAGGAGAGCGGAGTAGAAACAAGCAGAAGCAGCAATAAGCACAATTAAAACGCTGCTGTATAACAGAGGAGTTCTGTGCCATAGGTACAGTAACTTATGCGGGAGGCCGTAGCGTAGAAACGGGCAGTAAAATTCCGCCACCCCAAAGCGTAAACTGCAAGGGACATAATAATGCATTCTTTATGATCAATGGCACAGATAGAAGGGCGGCGTGTGGTGCTCAGGGATGCCCTGTAATTTGTTTTTAGGGGGGCCCTTCTTGCCTTCAGGCAGCACAAATGTCGCTACGGGCCCAAAGAATTTCAAGAGCTGGAATAGCTGAACTGATATAGCGACGGGCTATAGGATGAACGGCTGGGTTTGATTCCCGGTAGGGGCAAAACATTTTTCGATACTCCAAAATATCCAGACCACATTTGGGGCCCACTCACCCCCCTATCCAATGGTTACCGGGGGTACAGCAGCCAGGACGTGAAAATGACCCGTCAGAATCTAGTACAGCTGCCAATGGTGGAGCTATACCTACACTCACCCATACGTCTTCATAGCGTAGTGCGTAACTAGTGCACAGGCGCAAGTTTGCCTCTTTTCTTTTAGCTTTGCCTAAACACTATCAATCTGTCAAGTTATCCTTATCTGTCATGAAATTGTAAGTGAACAAATAAAGAAAAGTTAAACTCACAAGAAGGTAAAATTAAAAATTCGCTTAGTGGGGGGCGGAGTCCAACTGGGTCCACTCAGCACGGCGGCCACTGATTGGCCCCGGATGAATATGATGATGGAGAATTTGGTGGAATGAAGATTGGCAGGGGAAACCGAAGTACTCGGAGAAAAGCCGCTCCAGCGCCACTTTCCCCACCCCAAATCCCACTTGACCAGACCCGGGGCGCCGAGGTAGGAAGCCAGCGACTAACCGCTTGAGCTATCATCATCATCATCAGTAATCTGTCAAGACGACAGGTCCACAGTCTCTTTCAAAACAATTCCTCCACTTAATGCGATCTAGAGCTTTCTCCTTCAAATGACAGTATCCTCTTCTGTCCCCAAGGTCATCCAGCATCTTCTTACGTCTTCTTCCTCGTCTTCTTGTCACTTCTATCCGCCCATCTATCTTTCCTTCGATAGCTTCTTTTAGAAGGCAGTTTCTGCGTAAAACATGACCAATCCAATTAGCCTTCCGTTTTCTTATTTC